AAGGAAAAATTAAATATCTCTAGCTGTTAAAATGTTTAATGGTAGGAAAGCTTTATAGTTGAGACTTAACATTATATTTGTACATCTCTCAGGAGGAGATCTTGTAGTAAATGGCCTGAATCTTGAAAGAGCAAAAGAGGACATTAGTTAGATAATACATGAATATACAGCACATAGGGGGAAGGGACACATCTGTCATCTTTCACGCCTGAACTGTTGCATACTTCAAAGCCACAGTGCAACAAAATCAAAATGTATTCAGATAAATATTTCCAGTCATATCCGTAGATACCAAAATGTTTCATTTCATCATGGTTTCTTACACTCGATCCAGTATCTGGATGGATCTCATCTTAAGGCTGACAAGCACATAGTCAAATATCATGTGAAAAACTTAAATATGTTATTTTATGGTATTAGAACTGCATTTTGTATACATTTTTTTCTTTCCAATTTATGGTGTTTACGCTTCTTAAAGATCTGTCTACATCCAAGATGACTAACTCATAACCAAAAGACTGACAGGGGATTAGAATTTAGTTTGGCCTCAATTTTGTTATTTACAGTTTACATATGTTAAATGGAATAGACTTAGGCAACTTTTATTGTAATTTTGTATACACAAAGGGTATAAAAAATGAAATTTTGTTTTGTACAGCTTTAGATAGTAAATGAGCAGCAGCTTAGCAGTGAAAGGAACATTTTCATTCCATTAAGTGCAGCAGTGATCAAATGTAAACATTGTGGGAGAAAAAAACATGGTGCAAAACGCATTAATATGGAAGTTCGGAGGATTACAGAGACAAATATATATTGTACAAAAATGCAGTAGAAAAACGTTTTTTTTTTCTTTTTTAGTTGAGTTCTGTTTAGTTTGGTGTTATCAGTGTGATGCAGAGTCTGTGTCTTGATTTTGTATTTTTTTTTTCAACACTTTAGCAATTTGCTGGCAGTGGGGGAAAGCTGCTGCAGAATCTGCCGGGTCCTGCAAAAGATGCTGTGAAGCCTCTTCCCAGAGGGCAGCAGGGAGAACATTCCATGTTGGGGGTATGAAGGATCACTTAGGGATTTATGATGAATACAAACCTTCTTTTGTAAATCAGCTCAAATTACTTTCAATACTCAGCACATATCACAACAAATGTCTTCCCTTGGCACATTGCAAGACAAATAGGTACAACCTACTAATATAAATGTATAAAACCATTATAGCAGATTCAAATAGATATGCATACTTTTCAATGTGTCACATTATGTAACAACTCATTATGCTTTGTTTTCTTCACAAACTGGTTATAAAGAAATATACCTTTCCTCTCTAAGAAACCCAACCTATTACCTTAACTCATTGATTTTGCTCTCTGTTTTCTCCACAACCAGTCAAAAGAAAGCCTAGCAAAGAATCAATTCTAAATGATATCTTTGGAATATATTGGTCAAGGCCTGTCATTTCCTTACTTAGATGTACAGAGAACACTATGGCTGGTAGACATAAGACTTAGATTTAGACAAATTTTATTGTCTCTTTGTATACACAGAAATTTCGTTTTGTACAGCTCTCACAACATTTCCATTTGTTAAAGTGCAGCAGTTATCAAATGTAAACACTGTGGGAGAAAAAAAAAGCATGGTGCAAAGATACACATTGATATGGAAGTTCAGAGCACAGAAATATACACCACTCAAAAAAAATTAAAGGGACACTTTGTAATCAGACTATAGCATCAAGTTAATTAAACATCTGGGATGTTGATTTGGTCAGGTAAGTAGCAGAGGGGGTTGTTAATCAGTTTCAGCTGCTTTAGTGTTAATGAAATTAACAACAGGTGCACCAGAGGGGCAAAAACGAGACGACCATCAAAACAGGAATGGTTTTACAGGTGGAAGCACCTGACATTTTTTCCCCTCCTCATGTTTTCTGACTCTTTTTCACCAGTTTTGCATTCGGCTAGGGTCACTGTCAATACTGTTAGCATGAGGCGCTACCTTGACCCTACAGAGGTTGTACAGGCAGTCCATCATCTCCAGGATGGCACATCATCACGTGCCATTGCCAGAAGGTTTGCTGTGTCTCACAGCAAAATCTCAAGAGCATGGAGGAGATTCCAGGAGACAGGCAGTTACTCTAGGAGAGCTGGACAGGGCCGTAGAAGGTCTATCAGCAGGACAGGTATCTGTTCCTTTGTGCAAGGAGGAGCAGGAGGAGCGCTGCCAGAGCCCTACAGAATGACCTCCAGCAGGCTTCTGGTGTGTATGTCTCTGACCAAACAATCAGAAACAGACTTCACGAGGGTGACCTGAAGGCCCAATGTCCTCTAGTGGGCCCTGTGCTCACTGCCCAGCACCGTGGAGCTCGATTGGCATTTGCCACAGAACACCGGAATTGGCAATTCTGCCACTGGCGCTCTGTGCTTTTGACAGATGAGAGCAGATCCACCCTGAGCAAATGTAACAGACCTGAAAGGGTCTGGAGAAACTGTAGAGAATGTTATGCTGCCTGTAACACACTCAGCATGACCGGTTTGGTGGTGGGTCAGTGATGGTCTTTGAAGGCATATCCATGGAGGGACGCACAGACCTATGCAGGGTAGACAATGGCACCCTGGCTGCAATTAGGTATCGGGATGAAATCCTTGCATCCATTGTCAGACCCTATGCTGGTGCAGTGGTCCTGGCCTCATGTGGCGAGAGTATGCTGGCAGTTCCTGGAGGATGAAGGAATTGATATCATTGATTGACCCCCACGCTCGCCTGACCTAAATCCAATAGAACACCTCTGGGACATTATGTTTCGGTCCATCCGACGCCGCCAGGTTGCACCTCAGACTGTCCAGGAGCTCAGTGATGCCCTGGTCCAGATCTGGGAGGATATACCCCAGTCATCTCATTAGGAGCATGCCCCAACGCTGTCAGGCATGCATACACATTACGGTATTCAGTAATTTGTATGGGGGGCATACAAATTACTGAATACCATTTTAAGCTGCAATGAAATTTCAGCAAAATGGACTAGCCTGCCACATATTTTTTTCACTATAATTTTTGGGGTGTCTTTAAATTCAGCCCAATTCAGCATGATATTTTCCCCATTGAGATCTGATGTGTTTTCAAAGTGTTCCTTTAATTTTGAGCAGTGTATATGGTGCAATTAGGCAGATTTTGGTTTGGTTTTGTCAGTAAGATGCAGAGTCTGTGACATGATTTAGTCTTTTCAACAGTTCAGCTGTCTGATGGTGGGGAAGAAGCTGGATCTGCTAAACCTACCAGCCTTTTCCCAGAGGACAACAGGAAGAACAATCCATGGCAGGGGTGTGAGGGGTCACTGCTCGGGACACGCAGCACTGGGATGAAATGTCATCAAATCCCACATAAGGTGTGTATTTTAGGTTTTTATAAGTTGAGATTTGATTTTTACATTTATACTTTGTAAATTACTCAAAGATACATGTTCATTTCCAATACTCTTCAGATATTCTCCATTGAGTTTAAATCTAGCAATTTTTGCTAAGCTAAAGACGGAGCTAAACCCAACCTTGATCTAATCATCCCAGTCCTCTGTTTGTTTGTTTTTTGTAGCTCCATTTTTTCAGGTAAGGATTTATTTTTCCTAGTACCTTCAGTTTACAATTCACTCGGATCAGCTTTATCCTTGCAATTGGAAAAAAAACAAAAAACAATTATGGTTCCACCTTGTTTAACAAGGGGTGATGATGTTTCCACTATTAGAACTTGAGCAAGTTTAGTCTAGCACATGCAGCATTTTCCTACACATGGCTTTAGGCAATCTTTGAATGGGATTTCTAATTATTTTCTTTGTGCCACTTTCTATAAAGTCCAGCTTTGTGGATTAAACCACTAATCATAGAGCCACCACGGGCTATGAACTGCTGCAGTTTTCATAAATTTCTAAGTATCTACAGTGGAAAAGTGTTGTGTACAAGTGTTGAGATGGACAGTTATGTCTTGAGAGCTTTGCACTGGTCTGGTAGCTACTCCTCCCATTTCCTTACTATGTCTTGTTGTCGGGAAAATTTAGATGTCTCTTATTTCATAAATTAATTTATCCTATTTACTCACTATAAAAGTTTTCACTCAGTCTGTTTTACCTGGAAGGCCACACAATTCTCTGCATGAGGGTGTTTGTAGACCAGACATAGCTTCTTCCCATAACAAACCAGATTCTTTCTCAAGGTGTATTCATAACATGTTCCTGTTAACCAAAGTGTCTGTAATTTCTGACTCTGACTACTTTCTATTGTTGTAAGTAAGGGGGGGACACTCACTGCTCAGGCAGAACAAGACTGAATGCTTTGCCATAAGGGCCATATGATGAACTGTTCTCTCTTTGCAAAGATATTAATAAAGTGCCGACTGAGTGAAATCCATTGATCTCTGTTTATTTAACTAGGGTGAATAGTTGAATACTTCTTTTCCCCACTACAGTCTCATGTTAATTTTATGTCTATGGTTGGTCTAGGTCACTGTGTGTTGCCAACCTGTCAGATCCTCACAGAAGAGATGAAATTGTACTGAGATTGACTTACACACGTAAATTCTGTTGAGAAGGAACTTCTGAAGATAGTTGGTTTTGCATGATTTTTTTAAAGTGGTGTTAGAATAAAGGGGTTAAGCTTGTGAATCTTTAAAAACACTAAACCAGTTTCCTCCCACAGTATTTTCTTTTTTTAAATATATGTAGGAGATTGTAGTTGCAAATTGACTAAATGGGAAAATGTCAAAGATGTTTAGATATTTAGCAAAACAGGACTTTTTCTAGTTAAGCATGCGCAGTATTGTTCGCCCAGTATTGTCAGGCAATTAGTCTAAATCTGTCGCTAGGACCTATAACTGTCACAGTAATCACTGCAGTTAATAACAGCAACACTGTGTGCCAAAAAATAGCCTCACGCCTCTAAAACAGGTTGTTTTTTATTCCTCACACGCCATTGGTCACACAGATCGATGCGCGCTCGCGGCGCTTCGCGGCGACGCGCCCGCTCTACTGAGCATCGTTTTGAGGGGAAGAGAGCAGAGCCTGTTCCTGATCTGAATCACACACCGAGCGTCCACCGAATGTTTGCTCCTACCCGCTGCCAATGCACACCCCTCGCATTCCTATGTCCGCCAGTTGACACACTGAACTCAAAGGACGAGGCTTCCAAACCTGCGGGGATTCAGGCGTCCTAAAGCGGGCAGCTTTGTTTCCAGGTAAGCCTCTCCCCTCTTGTCCTCTCCTTCTCTTTCGGTGATCGTGTTTTTATTGGTCAAGGGGGAAGCAGAAAATAACGGGACGCCGGAGATGTTTTACGGTAACTGTCCGTGGTGCTGAAAGGGCATCGACACCTGGTAGTAAAAAGACAATACAGCACCTCTCTACGGCCTCACGATAAAAGCAGGTTGCATGACTTCGCTGTTTAAATCCTATAAGGTGTTTATTTATTTATTTTTTTTGCAGACTACATCTCACCAGGTTACCGTAAGGGTATCGATTGGAAGAAAAAAATTACAAAGCTCTCAGATAATTTCGCAAAGTCTCACACATTTTGACAATGGCTGCTTTACTCAAATGGACACATCCAAGCTGCGTTGTAGGTTATGATACCTCCTCTAGGGACGGTGTGTTTTCCTGGATTTACTGTTGTTATGGTCTTTGCCTCACCTTATCTTTCTATTGCAAACATGCATGCAGTCCTTGTAGAACTTTAATAAGTATTAAAATATGACTGATTTAGATTCTGGTGCAAAGACTAAGCTTATATGAAATAACGGTTATTGCAACAATTATTTTTGGGCCAAACTTTTTGCCCTGCTCAAAAATACCTTTAACAAATGTCTGTTTAACACAGAAGGACATGGTTTTAAATCAGACACATTCTGTAAAACAAAACCAATGAGGTATTGCCAGTTTCCATTATTAAGGTATAACAGCGTTTTAAAAATTGGCAAACATTATTTACTTTAAATTAATATTAGAAAAGGTTCCAGAGTAACCTGTTTATTCCTCACTTGTATAAAACTTAAAGTAATGCATTGCTGCCCCTTCCCAACCTGTTGCTCTGCATAAAATGTACACTGACCTTCCTCTAGAAAGCAGAAGTCTATTTTCGTTTGCTTATCAGAAAAGCAGGGGGAAAAAACAAAAACAACAGCAAAAAAGTAATGGTGTTGTGATCACTTTTGCTAAAGAAGCATGAATTGAGTGCATGTGAAAAAAAAAGAAAATTAAAAGTTATGGTTTAAAGACTGTTAAAATGTTTTTTCATACAATTCTTTATGTTAAAGTGCAAATCTTTGAAAACAGTAATCCTCATTCACACTTTAAAAAGGCTATTTTTAAACAGCTGTATTACTTTTATGTAGCATAAGGACAATAAATGAGAGAACCCACGCATGCAGAGGGAGAACATGCAAACTCCACGCAGAAAGACCCCGGGTCAGGAATTGAACCCAGAACCTTCTTGCTGCAAGGCAACAGTGCTACCCACTACATCACTGAGCAGCTGCTCAGGTATCTAAAAATCTATATTAACATCTAACATTAAGTTTGATCTTCAGGAGCTATCAGATCACCATAGAAACATCCAAACTGTAATAAGGCATTGGCCCATGCAGCATTTTGCTTTTTATATGGCGATAAAAATCACTTTCTTTGGTTCTTGGTCATAAGTGTTGCCGTTTAAGTTGAAAATATTCAATAAATAGATTTAGAAAAAATACCATTCTGGGATGATTAATACTCTGTAAATAGTTGTTTGATTTCATACTTATACTGAGTTGAAAACCCAGTTCTGGTGTTTAAATAACAGTTGCCAATCGATTGGAGAGTGTCTATGTGGTAGTAGGTTGGCTACCGGTGCTGATTACCCAACTAGTTAACCAGCTTATCTTAGCTTGTGGGGTTACTTGTGTTTACTATTCCAAAAGTGCAGCATATAAATCAATGTTGTTATAAATATAAAATGTGTGATATTTTATTTCAGCAACAATATTGCTATTTTGCAGAGAGGTTCTCAGATCCTGTTATTTTCTTTGTGTAAATATTGTATTATATTTGTATATTTGTGTAAGTATTGTATTATATGATATTTGAAATTGTTAACACGGATCACACCATGGGACTAGTAAGTCAGCCTGTTCCTATTACATATAAGATAACTATATTTAGTTCTCTGCACCTTCACAATCCTTCTTAATATGCCAAAATATGCCAAAACATCATCATTATCCACAAGCCACAAGCATTGTTTATGATTCCTGTCTTGGCAAAGAAAAGCACGAGTCACGTTTTGGCGGCTGCTGCTGCATTGTTTCTCTGACTGGCCAAAATATCCCTCTCTGTCTATAACAGGAGCTCCTGACATTTCCTGTGGCAGATTTACTCAAAGGATCATGGCACAGACCAACAGCAGCGGGCAGGGGACCAATGGAGTAGCGGATGAATCCCCCAACATGATAGTGTACAGAAAGGTAAGACTGGTGCTATTTTTAGCCCTCCTATGTGTCTCTGAGGGGGTGTGAGCATGCATGACTTTCTGGCATCAATTTTGCTTGACAATGAGCTGCGACATTAAAATTACAAAAACCCGTATTGGACCATTAGAAATAAGAGATATTATTCACTGTGTTCTTATTAAGAAAATCTAGAAGTATGTGGAAATATATAATAACACAGAAATGCAGTGTTTGTGAATTACATGAAGGTCTTATGTATCCTAAACCTTTCTTTAGTTGTGTGTTTAGGGAATTCTGTTCATATAGTATACCGGTTTAGCTTGACCGCTGTTAGTTGTTTCAGTTGGATAATAGAGAATAATATGGATATTGAATTGGAGTCTGATTTCTTAAAAAAAAAAAAACAGTGAAAAAGCTCTTTAGCTTGCTGTTGATGGGGAATCTTGAGTTCATAAGTTCAGCATCACCAACCAACCACAATATGTATGTTATTTCATTATGTTGTTTCCACACTTTAGAAGGAGGGACCAATTCTCATTGTCTTTAAATGACTATAAGAAAAATACATTTTCTGTTTTTTTTCTTAATAAAAACATTCATCTGTGCATGTGTCTAAATAAAAATTATCACTGCGTTTAAAGTATGTAGCCAGGAGACACCTATTTACGAGGTCGTACATACAGATTTTCCACTGGGTTCCACTGGGTCTAATTGGATGATGTCTTTTTTCTTTAGCAGGCTGACATTAATAGAACAGAAAGGGATTCAAAAGGAAATTAAACATTTCTCATTACACTGCAAGTCATGCTTTTCTTCACTGTTAAATATGTTACTACATTAGGTAATTAAAGGAAGGGCAGGAAGTGAAATTGCCCACTGCTGAGACACCTTAATCCGCACAGCTCCAACATCAAACAAATTAACGAGATTTTAATCTGCATGGAAGATAACATTTGCTTGCTAAAACAGACAGATAAATTGTTTTTTTGTTTTTTTATATTCGTTGAGGTGGTTATTTACAGTACAATGCTTCTTGTATGTGTTTGCATGGTTGCAATTTTCTCTTCCATCAGTACAAAAACTGTAAAGCTAGGTGTAAGATTAACCTACAAATAAACCATTTAGAAAATTGCTTTTGCTTTGAGGGGTTTTAGTTCCCTAGTGGCACTGCCATTGTGTGATGGCAGGAATTTTTTTCTGTTCTCTCAATGTAAACCATGCTGTGTGCCTTGTGGAAACCCAAACCAATGCCTTATACTCAGTAGAAGCTGATGGAAACCTGAGATATATGTAATATTTCCTTCCTTCCTTCCTTCCTTCCTTCCTTCCTTCCTTCCTTCCTTCCTTCCTTCCAATAAATGAAGAATTTGCACTTAGCGTGACAATACAGATTGACAGGCTTCTTTATGGCGCTCACACTGGGTTAAGCAATCTCTATGTCAGTGTGGGGCAAGATGATTTTGCTGTGTTTGTCACAAAAGCGAGCGCTTGCTGTTTTAGAGGTCCTACATTTCAGAAGATACACTTGAGCATACTGGTTGGGATTAGTTTACTCAGTATTTGATATATGGAGGCTTTTAAAGAACATTTATCTGAGTTTATTTGGTAACAATTCATTTGCACATACCATAAACTATGATATAATACACACTATTTAAAGAGGAGAGGAATATGGATTGACTTTCCACTATTTTTTTTAATTGCTCCGTTTCTGATCAAGTATAACGTCACAGTCAGGTTTGAAGTGAGGTTAGGTTACAAAACAATATCTAAAGCCTTTCAGGTTTTTCATAGCGCTCAGACCTGCCAAGCTGTGGCCACCCGCCTCAACTGAAAGAAATAGAAAATCCCTAGAAGTCTGTGGAACCTACAGGTGAAAGAATCTGTTGACATGACAACTATTAATCATTCACTGCACAAATCTGTCATCCAAGGAAAAGTGGAAGGGGTAAAAAAAAGCCTTGCATAAAGAAAGCCATTTGATGGTTCCTTTAAAGGTTGTGCTCAAGCAAAAGAGGACGCAACAAACATTGAGAGGCAGATGGGATAGTTTGACGTGACCAAGATTGATCTATTTAAATTACAGGCAATATGTCCTGCAGAACACTAAACACACCTTCTTCTCCAAGGATCATGCTGTGGGAGTAACATTTCTTTTCTCAGTAGTAACAGGAAAGCTGATCAGTATCAAAGGGGAAGATGGATGGAGCTATAAACAGGATAATCCTAGAAAGACAAAACAAACAACACAACTTTTAAAATACCTCTAAATATGTGAGACCGGGGCTGAAGGTTTAACTTCCAGCAAAACAACTACCCCAAACTTACATATAAATCCAAAATTGATTTATATGGATTGTTGATATTTTCATAAGACATAATTACAATGTTAAAATTGAAAATTGGAGTGTCATCACAGTGTTTCTGTCAATCTTCATCAGCTTTAACATCCTTTGCACTAAATTCTAAGCCAGGATCAAGGCACTGTGCAAAGACACAAAGTAAATTAAAGACATAAAACTGTCAGCCTAGTTCAACCACACTGTTTTACTGCAAGTGACTACAGGGAATGTTATAAGAAATACAAAGATGTCAAAATTATTTAAATTGATTTCAAAACTACATATTAGCAGTGAGTCTCAATTGTTGCCTTTCTTTGGGATAACAGAAATTATGTTAAATAAATATATCACCTAAATGGTTGATTTCACTGTTAATACTTTGACACAAAGGGTCGCAACTTGGCTTTTTTCCTGACACAGCAGGCCAGTACAAATTCATAGCAGTGTAATAGCTCTAACAAAAACTGCAAATGGATGAGCAATCTCTGCAGACACGCGGACGATGCCAAGATGAACAGGTGCTCCAAAGACTTTTCAGATGGAGATAGCTTGGCAGAGGTGATGCAATCCACAATGAGATGAGGTGAACTCTCAAGTGGAAAACACACTTTCAGGGCACTGTTTTGCTGCCCTGGCCTCTAGCACATCAATATCATAAGTAGGCAGGGAACATGCAGTAAGAAGCATTGATAGATAGCAACAGACTACATCTACTCTGGTATCAGGTGATGTGTGAGTACAGCATAGTAGCGGATGTGTTATGTAATATGAGCAGAGGGAGTTTTATGGTTGAGGACAGCAGATAGTGGTTTGATAGTCCTTCCACAGGGAGCATAACTATATCCTTTCATTTTCTGCATATTCTTTCTCTCCTGGCTTCATGCATTCCTCCAGTCCTGTCATTAATGTCTGATGAAAATGGATTGATGTGTGTGTGTGTGTGTGTGTGTGTGTGTGTGTGTGTGTGTGTGTGTGTGTGTGGGTGTGTGTGCGTGCGCCTGGGTGTTGACCTGCTTGCTGAGGAGATGAGTACAAAGATGCCCGTCTGCATCGAGGACAAATGGAGTCTGGAGACTTGCTAGGATACATTTATCGGGAGACATGCAGATACATACACAAATATGACTTTGAGATGAATCCATTTTTGAAGGACAGGCAATACTGAAAAAATTATCCTCAGCAATTTTAAGCAAAAGATTAACTAAAAAGTCCTGTAAAGACTCTGAAAAATAAATGCCCAGAAAACACAACTTGTGGGTACTTGGAGACAGATCTGTGATTATTTTCCTCATTGCTTTCTATTTAAAAACTCTTTAAATGTCACTTCTCCCACATTAAGCATGTTAAGTCATGCCGAATCGGGCTCTGTATGGGTCTTTTTTATGCCTGCTCACATGTGAGCACCATAAATAATGCTATGATGTGTGTGAGTGCTGTATGTAGGGCGAATGTTGCTAAGAGAGTTGTGAATTTTTTATGCAAGCCTAAAACAGCTTTGGTTCACAGTCACTCAGCATGAAGCAGGAACATCTTCTCTCGCCAGCTAGCACTTTGTTTGAGCTTCTGTGATTTGAGTCTTGGCATAAATGCATGTCTGTGTGAGCAGAGGTGTGGATTCATAATCAAGATGAGGAAATTTGCAACATTCTAATTATCAGATTTTTTATTGCCTTGTCCCTCTCCGGTGTTTTGGCTGTAACAATAAAAAAAGTTTCTCAATTTTAAACCTACAAAATTGACTTTTTCTGTGTTAATTTTATAGATTTTTTTTCATGAAGAGGAGAAATCTGAAGGAAAATTTTATATGCTTAAAATATAATAATTTAACAAAATTTCATTCACAGCTTTTTCAAAGATGAGTTTATGCCATTTGACGCTCCTTACACCAAAAGTCAATTTTAGGCCCTAAGAAACATATTATTCTAAGACTCAAAACAAGACGGAATAGATGATTAAGTTTGCCATATTTTTTTGCAGTAAATTAGAATTGGATCATCCTCTGTGGTTTGCAAACTGACAGCTGAGACATCAGGCCATTCTTTTTTACATCTGAGCTGCCGAAGGGTATTCAGTAATTGGTCTTCCAGCTGCCAGTTTGGATTCTATATCTGTCCAGAGCCATTTATCCTGCACTCTCCACATTTATTAGTTTCGCTCTATTTTCTACCAGTAAAAACAAGGTATATTGCCAGTTTTATTTATTTTTTGTTGTTGTGTGGATGCAACTGAATGGTGTCTTGCATTCTTTTCTACAAACTAAGCTTATAACTTTACATTTGAAAGGCTACCAACTTTTTTCTTTACTGCAAATCACACGCACTGTAGAGGAAAATCAAACACACATGTTGATGTTTTTTTGTATTTTTCTGCTACAGTTTTGCAAATGATTATGGTAAAAATCTGTACTTTGCCAAAACCCATTTTTTCCACAGGCATATGCATTTGATGACATACCCATAAGATATAAGATAACTGCTCTAAATTAAAAAGCCTTACATTTAATCAAGAAAGTCCCATTGAAATTAAGCATGACTTCCTCTAGGGAGTTTAAATGACTCAGATACTTTGCAATTACTAATATTATCAAGATAAGATTGCGAGAAAAATCAAACACTTGATAAATATCAAAAACTACACCAACTAAGGATAGAAAGTTCAATACATGTTATAAGA